GGGACATGAGGGTCCTAAAACATTTTCCTTTTGTAGCATAGGGTCATGTTATGGAAGTGTTTGAGAACCACTGTATTAACTCATAGCTGTCCCAGCTTTATACTGTGTTTGCACTCTTAATGCAGACATCTTTACTGATGCAGTTCAGAGGAAGCTACAGTCTGCTCTTGGTTTACATCCCCAAGATTTTAATATCTTTGCATTGACTCAAACATTACAAGTAAATCTCATTAATAATTACATAGCAAAATGCACTTACTTCCTGTTTGATTTGTTTTACATCTATAGCCCTTTTACTGCAAATAATATCTTTTTCAATTAAGCTAAAGGATCTGATAATGCCAACAAGGAAATAGGCCATTATCCTTTCAACTGTACAGTTTATTTTTTAAAAGGAATAATTAATCCTTAAGTTAAATAGCTTGTTTTTACATGATTTCAGAGCTCCAGCGATAAAGATTTTTAAATGTTAAATGCTGTTTTCTTAGAAGCAGAGCTAGACAGTTCTAAAATTTAATAAAGTGCTAAAATTTAATAAAAAGCAATTTTTTAAAAACAAGAAGTAAGGATTTTTTTTCTGTCTTTTACAGGAGAAAAATACATTTCTGTAATATAGAGGGCTATTGAGGTTTTGAAGGACATTCAACTTCTGCTAGTCACTGAAGTATGAAATATAATGGTTTACCATTTGCCTGAGGTTCGGATATCTCCCAGCCCATTGATTTCATTACAGCTTTCTTCCACCTGGCATAGCGATATTCACTTTCTGGAATCACAAAGAGGAATTAATGTACTTTCACTTTATTTTTTCCCACACATTAAATTCATCATTAAACCTTTGTCCTGCAAAGATTTCCCAAAGCATACACAGCAGTTACTTAAGAACTCATCCCCATTACAACAGAATGTCTGAAGTGATAAAAAACAACAACTAATGCATGAGCAACTAGCAATTTATCAATTCTTCACAACTCCAAATATTTACAGAGTAAGGATTACATACTCTATTCTCTACTGCACTTCACTTAGAATCATGGAAATGTAGGACTGGAAGGGACCTCAGTAGGTTATCTACCCCAGTCCCCTGCACTGCGGCAGGACTAAGTATTATTTTAGACCATCCCTAACAGGTGTTTGTTTAGCCTGCTCTTAAAAACCTCCAATGACCAAGATTCCACAACCTCCCTAAGTAATTTGTTCCAGCACTTAACTACCCTGACAGAAAGTTTTTCCTAATGTCCAACCTAAACCTCCCAAATTGCAATTTAAGCCCATTGCTTCTTGTCCTAACATCAGTGGTTAAGGAGAACAATTTATAACAACCTTGTACATACTTGAAGACTGTTATGTCCCTCTTCCCCCCCGCCCCAGTCTTCTCTTCTACAGACTAAACACATTCATTTTTTTCATTTCAATCTGTCCTCATAGATCATGTTTTTTAGACCTTTAATCATTTGTTGCTCTCCTCCCTCTTGATTTTCTCTAATTTGTCCACATATTTCCCAAGTGTGGTGCCCAGACCTGGAGGCCTTACTCCTGGCTAATACATCCCAGAATGATGTTGGCTTTTTTTTTTTTGGAGACAGTATAACTTTGTAGACTTATATTTAGTTTATTATCCACTAACCCCCAGATCCTTTTCTGCTGTACTCATTCCTAGGCAGTTATTTGCTGTCATTCTGACTCAACTGTGACTCAATACAGGTGAAACTAAATATGCTGGGATATAGGCAGTGGAGAATCAGGCTTTAAAACTCAACTTTTCCCCTACAAATTCACTAGGCAGATTTGTAAGTATAATCCAAATTGAAGCAGTAGTAGTCAGTTTCAAATCCTTTGACGTTAATATACCAGGAGAGGGAATTGATAGAAATGTATTGCTGTTAAAAACACCCAGACAGAAAGGTTGTGCAAAGAGTATATGCAATCAAATATTAAAAACCTCTACTAAAAAGGGATAAATGCTTGAGTCTTGCATATGTATTAATTATAATGCCAAGTTTCGGTCTCCAGAAGTATCTAAGAACAGATGCAAGATAGCTCACTGTTCTAACTAATGTGTTAATTTTAAAGATAACGACCTGCTCTACATAGACAGCCCTAAAATTATAAAAAGTTGGCCCCTTCTGAAACCTTGAGATCTGGCAACTGTGTGGAATCTTTAGGGGCCACTAGCATCCTCTGCCAACAATTTTCAACAGTGTGGAATCAGAGGGGGAAGTGGGATGTTCTCAGTTTTTAATTGGTTGAAACCAAAAGCCTCCAAATCAAGCCACACTAAATGACAAGCTCCTATATAAAGAGCTATGGTATGAAATCATTTTTGCCTGCTCCATCATTATTACCCAACTATTGGCAAAGCAAGCAGATGGAACCCACACCTCCCTCCTAAAAAGCCAGAGCATCAAGCACTGCAGACCTGTCACCACAGTCTGAGAACTCGTACTGCTAATTATCAATAACCATCTTTACACTGGGGTGTTCAACGGCATCAAGAAATGACAGAGTTTGGTCAACCATTCAATTTAAATTTACATGTATGCGGACAGAAAGGGTTTGGGGGGTGGGGGGAAGGAGGGTTTCAGATCATTTTAAAGTTCAAACTTCAAATTTCTTTTACCCTCGGGATTGATCTGTGGTTCAAATCGCTCCCATGTCACTGCTGTCAAATCCCCAGGATTCAGACTCCAAACTCCAACTCCTTCTGCCGCTCCAGCTGCCATTGCAGCTCCTAGTGCTGTTGTTTCAGGCATTGATGGCTTCACTAAAGTGAAACAAAGGAACATAAACCATTTTTCTTTATGGGTTGAAGTGCATAGACAAAGAGGTCTAACTGGGCTATTATACACCTAGCTTCCCTAAGGTTTAAAGTTTGCAAACCTCCCTTTAACACAGTCGTCACGGTTCCTGGTCTAATAGGTCTGACCTCTTTGGAGCACACACCCCTCAAGCTTCTAGGCTTCTCACTCTCAGAGTGGGCCTCGGGCTGTGGTTCCCAGATGCTAACCACTATTACCTCAACAAGCACGACTTATGTTCAGTCCTGCAGTTCTGTGCCCTCGGTCAGTGACTTGTGGTTATCACAATGACCATATAATAGCCTTCTTAAAGCTAAGTATTATTTATTTAGAACAAAAACATTTCAGAGAAAATGTATTAAAAATAATAGACAAACTATACACACACATCTAGCTAAACAGGTGTCTCTTCGTCTTCCACAGGGGGAAGGGAAGCAGGAGGGAGACACTTCTCCCTCCTGTCTCTGCTCAGTCTTTCTGATCACTTCCCTTCTCAGAGAACACATCGCTTTAATTCTTTACAACCCTTTGATTTGTTAACTCTCAGCAATGGCAAAAACAAGGCTGGCAACTTCAATGGAGACAGAATATAGGATTCTCAAAGTTATGAAATGTGTGCCAGGGCTTTCTTACCGGGGAGCCATTGTGTTGCCTTCCCAGCAGCCCATATTAAGCTAGCTCAATACACGGACATAGAATTTACTATTAACTCAATACAACTATATGGAAACTACCCTGGCCAGGTCAGATACCACATTAATAAATTACATATCAGTATTCACAGCAGCTCCACATCTGTCACAACAGTATGACAATAAAGGTTTGGGAAAGGTGTTCTATTCTCACTGCTGCCGAAGTTCTGCAATCCTATAAAGTCTTCTGGTGTAATACTGCAAGAGGCTTTAAACAGTAACTCACTTAGAGCAATGGCATTCAGTCTCAAGAGCTGAAGAGCCTTTTCACCATACAATGGCTTTGCAGGCACAGCTTGAGGCCCTTTACTATAATCACGTTGCGCTGCTGTTGTATCAATACCTTTGGTCTCTGAAACTTCATTTGCTGAAGAAGTGGCTCTTTATTCCCCTCAGTCTGCCTCTTCCGAGGGAGGCATCTTATCTAGGTTTCTACGCTACATTCACCATGTTAATACATAGTTTAGGGATTTTCCATTTGCTTCTCTTCCCTCTCAACCCTCCTCTTCATAGCCAATGTGGGAGATACCCCTTCCTTCGCACATCATTAGGTGCAGAAGACAGTGACTTTTCTCCTCCCTTTCCACATTCTACACCAGGGATCAGCAACCTTTGGCATGCGGCCCGCTAGGGTAAGCACCCTGGCGGGCTGGGCTGTTTGTTTACCTGCCGTGTCCGCAGGTTCGGCTAGTCGCGGTTCGCCGTCCCAGGCCAACGGGGGCTGTGGGAAGCGGCGCAGGCTGAGGGATGTGCTGGCTGCTGCTTCCCGCAGCCCCCATTGGCCTGGAGCGGAGAACAGCAGCCAGCAGGAGCTGCGATCGGCCAAACCTGCAGACATGGCAGGTAAACAAACCGGCCCGGCCCGCCAGGGTGCTTACCCTAGCAGGCCGCGGGCCAAAGGTTGCCGATCCCTGTTCTACACTGTGTCATGGAACTTCCTTCCACTTAAGCCACATGGAAGAGCTGGGAGGGCAGAATGGGGAGGGGGGAAAGAGTACAACTCCTAGCAGCTGTCACCCTACTGGTGATTTTGTTTAGGTAGGGCCCCCATATGTATGATGCAGCTGGGGTGCAGTCTTGTGAACTGGCCTCTACATCAGACTCCAATGACCTACATGTGGGTTTAGAATTTGAACTCGGATGAGAAACCTTGCCTAAGCAGAACTTGCATTAGATCTTAGACCTCTACTATGGTGCTGTAATGCTTCAGTAACAGAAGTCAGAAAGAGCCAAGCATCTCTAGAATACTACAATCCTTATTGGGCCTTAGACACTCCCCTCCCACAAACTGGGCTATACAGGGCTTTTATTTAAATCCCCACCCCACCCCGAACAGTGATGGGAAGGACAGCAGCAAAAAAGCCAATACCCACATTTGAGGTTTGTTCAGCTTTTTAGACCCTTATTTTGTTTTTAAGAAGTCTAAACAGTCAGTTTGCACTTACCTACTTGAATACAGAGAATATCTGCTTGAAGCTGCATGAGAATCTTGTTGTTGGTCATTCCTCCATCTACTTGTAACTCACTCAGTGGTATCCCACAGTCCTTGTTCATAGCATCCAAAATCTGAAAGAAGAGCACTACATATTATACAGTTCACTGTGCAGAAACACAAGATCCTCTTTCAACAAAAAGAAAGACGGTTGAAGAGTTCCAGACTGAGAACATTCCTCAAGTCCTATTCCTCCACAAAACAGAAAGCAGGCAGACACAATACTGGTTTGCTCCCACATTACTCAAACATATTCCAATATACTCTTAAAATGTGTGTATGGGAAAGGTGTTATATTCTTATTACTACTAGACATGTAGAGAGTCTACAAACCATGCTTAAAAGGCCCATATACATAGGACCTGAATAAAAATAGATCTAACCTCTAGAGGTGAGAAGATGGCTTCATCTTCACACAAAGTTGACCCCGGAGACTCAGACTACCAAATGGAGACCTTTGACTGCCTAGACAGGTTGTTTAGAGGTCTTCAACAGTTCCTTGGGCAAGGAAGAGGAACTGAGGTGAAAGAGGGTCATAAGGATTTACTGATGGCAGTTCATAAAAAGAATGAACTTGGAATGCTGTGATTTATTGTAGGGGGTAAAATACCTCCAACTTCAACTGGAATTAAAAGCACAGAAAAATGTTCTGATTCTTTTTGTGAAAAAGCAAAATAGGGACAGGGGAAGAGTATTTCCGTGACAAGTTTACCTGCATTTTGTGCGAGCCTCCAAGCAGAAAGAAAATAAAATGAGGAGATTCAATTTACTATTTTAGCACAGTCAGACACCCAACGAGGGGCTCATATATTGTTGTGATGAGGGCCAAATAAGCACCAGAGAGAGACAAGACTACTTAAAACAATCACAAAGCCAATAGGTAAGATTCACTCCTGACAGCATGAGCAGGGACACCAAGCTGCTTGCAACTCCACTCACTGCTCTCTTATCTCAGGGGGCTCAGTGTGCCAGCTAGCCCAACCTCAAAAGGAGGTGGAACCAGGCCAACCAGTAGACGTACTGATTCCAACCTCTCTTAGGGGGCCTACATCACTGAAGCTGTATGAATCCTGAGGTAAAATTCTAGCTGCCTTTCCCCAGTAATATTCCTTACCCACTAGTGATTACAGCCAGGCCTGTAACCGCAGAAGTTGCAAATTGCAGTCCCCTGTAACCAGGGTGTGTGTGCGCGCATGTGCATTTTATCAGTATAAAGATACATGAGTGGTTCAGGATTAGACTGTTGGCCCATCAGAGCAGGGACTTTTTGTATTTTGGTATAGAGCTCAGCACAATGGGGCCCAAATTAGCACCAGACACTATCATAACAAGTATTTAATATTACAAGGTGAAACACTTACAGAGGAGAACAATTCTAGAGGTGGAATATGCACTATGGCCCAGATTTGTAAAGCTATCGAAGCATTGCTGTGCTCAATATTGCAACACCTACCTGATTTAACAGCCTAAATCTCACGGACTATCAATGGAATTTAGATTCTTAAATGCCTAAATCATTTTTTGAAAATGAGATTTAGGCTCGTAAATCAGGTAGGTGTTGCAACACTGAACACAGCAATCCCTCGATACCTTTACAAATCTGGGGCTACTAAACTTAACTGTATCTTTTCATCAGTTTGTAGGAGAAATTTTTAAATACCACAAGTCATTATTGTTCGTAGTCAAACTCAAAAACAAGAAACCCCCAGAAGTTAGGAGCAAGTTTGCCTTTACCTCTCGTGTTTGAAAGCAGACAGCCTCTAATGCAGCGAAGGCAATGTGGTTTTTATTTGTAAACTGAGTAAGGCCACAGATAATACTGTTAAGACAAAACAGATAATAAGCGACTAGGATCACTAATCTTGATCAGATTATGTTTAAGTCTTACACCTGAGATTTTCAAGCACATTTGTATTGCACTGTGTACAGATACTGTGGTTTAAAGTTAGAGCACCTAAAAATAGAAAAAACCTCTCATGGTAATGTTTTAAAATCCCATTGAATATTCTCTCCTTGAATGTTAATACTAAAAATCTCTGTTTTACATAGAGAACACGATTATCTTTATAACATGGACACTTTATTTCATTGCCTCACAGGGAAAAAACAAACTAACTAATATTACATTCTACTAATTTCCCTCCCCCCCCGCCCAAAAAGATGAAGTGTGCAAACAGGGTGACCTCCCCAGGCAAACCATCTTATGTTTCAAAAGAACCTCTGATTTCCACCGTATACTATATATCTGTTCTTTCAGTTCTCACATAAGGGCTTCACTGGGGACAGGACTATGTTCTTGGTATGTTAAACTGGCATGTTACCCAATCTGCTTTAAACAAGTAATAGTCAAGAGTTCTAACAAAAGGAGTTTTGGGTCTAAGTAATGTAGTATTTGCCCTTAGATAAATTGCATCAAGTTAAGGTACTTTGAATATGATAAGTCAACCTAATTTCTCCAACAGTTCTGCATCTAAATGATGCATTAACATACAGTACACATAAACCCAGTTTGACACCATAAGGAGTACATGCCAATTTTTTACATGATTTTAGACATTCTCTTAGAATTGATTTTGGCATGGGTCACAGCTAACAAATGTTACACAATGGCCTGAAAAATTAGCATCAGTATTTTTATACAGAATTTTGTATTAATAAAAAAAATCTTAAACAGGCGGACAAGAGGTTCAACAGGACTGCACAGGTGTGTCACTAAATGGGATGCCTATTTTAAAGTTTTAACAGGTGAGGCTACCCTACCCCCACTTTCTCCTCCTTCCTTCTTTTTTTTCCAAAAAAAGAAGGAAGATTAAATGACCTCTTAAGAATTTTAAGAAAATTATTTCACACTTAAATAATGCTTGTGGTGCTCCCACATGTCCCATTGCCAAGGCCCATTGAGACCAGGGAAAGTCAGTAGCAGCAGAGCGCAAACATAAGAGATTACTACTTGAAACAGCAGCTGGTTAAATCTGAAACAAGGATGGGGCATGGGAATACACTAGACAGAACCCAATAGGCTGGAAAGAGGGAGAGCTGGCCATGAGCATATGTCCTCCCCCAAAGGAATGACAGTTATGGGACCCACATTGAGAACCCTTCTCACCATGGGATAGTTAAAACTATCCGGAGGACGTGTGGGGAGCACTGATGAACTGAACTTGGACAGTTCTCAGTACCGAGTTCCCCACTTCCTACTGCTGTTGCCTGCTGGTTCCTAGTGACTCTTCTAGAGGAGAGGAAGTAGGCCATGTACTGTATGTGCAGAGGTATGTGCAAGGAGATGAAGACACACAAGCTCTGCTTCCTCAACTCTTCCTGTGGCAGATTAAAAGCGCACCAGAAACCAGCAGGGAATATGGAAAGGAAAGCAGCAGAAAACGCAACCGTAAGGAAGGTTGAGATCTTCTGCAGCACTGCCCCCCAAACTCACCCATCACAATTAATTTCCGCCTCACTCTTCCTACCACAGACTGCCAGGCTCCTGAGGTAAGGTGGAGACTTTGGCTTCTCCCCTCGTCCACAGGCAACTGCATCTCTCAAGGGTAGGTTTCTTCCCTGATTTCTCTACTGAGTTTTTTGTTTTGGGGAAGGATGCTGAACACAGAACTTCCTGCTCACGGGTGTATTGTAGATAGCTGTTTGTTTTGAGCAGCAGCCGCCATCACTACTACCGGCTGTGTACCACAAGTAGCCCCTGCTCCAGGCCCCTTTTGGTGAGACAACAGGTGATGGTGCTCTCAGGGGACCCAAAAACAAATTCAAGAAAATTTATGTTTTGAAAGGTCCAGGATGGTTAGTGGTTCTGGTTGCCCTCTAGCAGCCACCTATGGATTTTTCATAATATAATTAGCCATTCCTGCAAATATAATAGTTATCCTTACCCTCGTGCACTGGGTTCCCAGTAAGGTGCATATAATCCTGAGAATGCTGGGACGAAGTAGCAGCCATAAGAAGTTCCCACTTCTGCAGCAAGTTTTTCTAGCACACATACAAAAAGCCTTTAGTTTTGCACAAATACAATATCTAAGGCTAAAGAAATGTTTGATTTGGCCATCTGCTCCAGAGATTATTTAAGAGACAAAATGCTCAAACACACAACACATTTATGAAAACCGTTAACAAAATTAACTGCAGTTAGAAGATACCACATGGCTACTCTGATACCTAGATGGTTGTATTATTGTTATTCAGCCAGTTACAATGTTATTCAATGGAATTTGGGCACCGAACCCCACATAGGTCCTTGTGGAAAAAAACAAGCTGAAATTTGTTACCAGGAACACACCAAAAAATTGATATCACAGGACTAGGATCTATTTGCTTCTGAAAAGCAAGATGTTTCAGGGTCTGAGCAATGCCCGATTAGGTTATGTCTACACTAGAGCTGGAAGGTGTCTTTTCCAGCTTCAATACATATACTTGCACTAGTTTGATCAGAGCTAGCACACTAAAGATTGGTGCAATAAAGATTGGCACACTAAAGATTGGCGGGACAGGCTAGTCACCCCGAGTACAATCCCGTCTGAAATCCTAAGTATGTTCTCAGGGTGGCTAGCCTATCTGGCTGTCGGTGTAGGTAAGGCTACCTTGCTGTTTTTTAACACGCTAGCTCAAATCAAAGCTAGCATGGGTATGTCTATCTGAGCTGGAATTTACCCCTCCAACTCCTGTGTAGACATACCCTTAGATTTCAGTTATGAGGAGCCATTTTATTTCTCCCTTTGCAATTCTGGATATTTCATTTGGTTCTTGGAAGGGACAGTATATTTAAGAGTTGCACTTCTGAAAGTTTTACCTATCATCATTAAAGGTAGCACCTGTGCCAACCTTAACTGAAAAATGATGGAAAAGAGTATTGCTTGGTTTCCTCTCCCATCCAACTTATTTGCTTTCTGCATCTGACAATACTGTAGGGTCTGTTTCATAGTTTCCCCTGTATTGTGAAGTAAATTTCCCCTGTTTGTGTGGATCAGAACGTAGAAACCAAGAATAAGAATATGCAATTGTAAACTACAAAAATTGGTGAGGAGAACTTAGGGTCATGCATAGGATTTGCAACTACTTTCAACTCTTCTGAAACTGAATAGATTTTATGCTGACAATGTCCCTTTAAAAAAGCATTCAGGTGTAGACAATACATTTTCCCTCTAAAGAAGTTCTCTGGGATCAACCACAGATGAGAATAATAAAGGTATGTTCCTAAATGTTGAATAATGCTGACAAAAACTGAAGATTAAACATTAAAATTTTCAGAAGTTCAGTTGCAGTTGTGCAGGAATTATGCAACCCCAGCTCCCACTGAAGTCAGTGGGAACTGTGGATTCTCAGCACTTCAGGATATATCTGTCGAAATATGGATTTAGGAGCCTAATTTTAGAAAATAGGTTCGATACTTGACTGTTACCATTTTTTTTTATTGTAATACAAAACGAAGTCTATTCAGATTTGGTGTAAAACTTACAAGACTGTCCAAATGACTTTGGTCAATGACAACAAAGGCTCCTTTCTTTTTCAAAATTTTATCCCTTGTATATGGTTAATTTTTCAGAAGTCAATTCTGTTCCAAAATTTCAAAGCATTACACACCTGCATTTTTAGTTTAGTTTAAGAATATAAAAAAGTGTTAGCTACCCAGGTTTCTACTGGTTAATCCATTCTCAGTCAAAATGGATCACTCTCAGATATTACATTCACATTCCAAGTTAAATGCCATTTGGTACAGTCCAGCAAATGGAGGTATTAATCTTTCAATGAACTCCATGCACCCCTTGCACAGAGCGCACTGCAGGTCTGGGGCTTCAGTCCCCCATTTCTTAGTCTGGGAACAAGTTTGTAGGTGTTGTGACACAATTTTCAGTGGACTACTCAGTGAGACCTGTATACTATTTATCCCAAATGTCTCAATATTAAAATGAACCAATAAATCTGCTATGTCAGTGTAGTACAGCTCTTAGTAATTTCTACATATTTCAGCAGTAACGAGGTTTTGCTAGACTAGCAGCAATGCTATATGTAAAAAATGTAACTTTACATAATCTTTTTTAGTAATTGCAAAAAGGACTGGTATACACTTATGCATGTTTTACTGTAGTCCTGCTCTTCTATTTTCCTTGCATCTTTTGACCTTTTATTCAACACTAGAGACTTCAAGACCGTGTTCACCCTCTATTCAGTTTGAAAAACATTTACAAGTTATGAATACTCACCAACTTCACTTGAAGACTTTACGATGCCAAGATTGTCCCTTAGCCAACGAACAACAGCACCAGCTATGGCAACAGAGCCCTAGGGAAACAAGAACGGTTATACATGGAGTTTACTAATTTCTAGCATAAAAAAAATCAAGAGTCCAGAAAGGTGGGACAAAAATGCCTATCATCTTTGAAGAGCTCTAAATTGTAATTGACCAACCCTTTGGAGACACAGGCAGTCCAGCGGCTGGGGGAGTGTCGGAGCACAGCAGTACAGGGAAGTCAACACTACTCCAGTTCTCTACCACATGGAGATTTCCCCCCCCCGGAAGAACTGTCAAGATATTGGTCAGACTGGCTTTATGGCCCAGGCCCCTGAGCTGTCACATCTGGACTTCAGTATACACAGTTGCGAGGTCTGAATGCCTTATGTATTCCAACCTAAGGCCTCCAAATCCTGATGATAAACTTCAGGCCCATGAATAGTTCCACTGACTTTGGAGTGACTACTCATGAGCTTAGTGTTTGGAGGATCAATGTCTAAGAACATTGAGCCTTCCTACAGGTTTGGTAGATGCTCCTGATCTTTTAGAAGTTTGCTCTAAAAAAACAACAGCATTAGATGACAAAGCAATACCTAGTCACGCTTGCCCTGAGTGAAGATGATTAGTTTTAAGGGTAACAGTGTGTATTTAAGAATGGAATAGAATGTTAGGACTTCCTCTTATTTTTTCCTTTTTGTTTACTGTATGTGTAAAGGTCTGTCGTAAGGCTGGAAATGTTTTGACATGATTAAGGTTTTTGTGCACATAGAAGGATTTACTCTTCCATCTGCTGGACAGTTTTTCTGAATCAAGATTCAAAGAATGAAAAGAAAAAAAGAATGGTGTCAAAAAGAGGGGGCGGAAGCAATTGCCACATATACTTACTTCTAGTGCATAATATACAGGTTTGTCTCTGCCCAGTTTGTAAGCCACTGTGGTCAGAAGGCCATGTTCAGACAAAACAGGCTAAAAAATAAAATATGGATAGTGCTTGAATGGGAAAAGTCAGGAGTCACATTTCTAAGAGAAATTACTGCATAAAATACTGTAAAATAGTAAAATTAGAAGGAGATGCCCTTATTTATAAAGAGTAAAGGAGAAAAAACAAAATCTTTAGTATAACAGGTAAGTAAGTTTAGAAACTAAATTAGCCAATGTTTTAGCATAGTTCCCAATCCGCAACCCATGGAAACTTGTTGATGCTGCTTATTTCCAGAAGCTTCCAGGGTCTTCACCGCAAAGAATAAACTGGAGGCCTGCAGAAGCAGCTGGTAACAAGGATCAGACTCAAGCTTAGCTGCCTCTAGACTGGAACTGCGAGGCAAAAAAGAAATTTCCAAGAAAACAGAGGGAAGGCAATGGAAGTAGTCAAGGGAGTAGAAGAGGAGCAGACAGCTAAGGGAACAGGGAACCAACAGGCAGAGAAACATGTAGGTAGAGGCAGAAAAGCATATGCAAAAGAACTGGGTGAGATTATGAAAGTTTGTCATTTCCCTTTTTAGCAATTTAGGAACCACAAAACAAGGAAATGGAGCCTCGGCAAGCGACATGTTGACTGAAATGTTGCTTTCTAGTCTTGTAGATTACAAGATGCCCTTTTTCCGCACCTGCAGGAACTATATTAGCAACTTTTAAGTGGAATAAGAAAAACGTTGCAGAAGTTATTTTAAAAGACTCATGCTTAACAAGACAGCACATGAGCACACACAAGTGAGCTATTTTCCTTTTAGACCTTTTGTATATTCAATTGTCTGCTATTATCATTTGTTCTTCATTTTAAAACATAAAATAATCTTGCTTAATCTTGTGCAGATTACACACTTTATGACCTTGCACCAAAAGAAAAAAAAAAAAACAATAAAAAAAACTTATACGGGGATAAGGAAGTGAAGTGACTCAAGGAGATACCCAGTAGGAAAATGTATGAAGGGCTTATGGAACAATATCTGCTTATTTAGCAAGAGAAGCAACTTGACTGAAAAATACATACTCCTAGCAAGCTATTTCCAATTCAAGCAACCAACCTTTTGACCTGTATTGTAAAGCAAGAAACATCCTGTTCCATACCTGTAGTGGAAAAGACATAAGGTAGTAATTTATAAAAAGAAAAAGAAGAACCAGGAACAGAAGATAGCCATCTTTGACATTCAGTTATCACAGTTGCGTTATGGGAATGTCATGATAAGGCAACTTAATATAGCAAAATACCACCACCACCTTACAACTAGTCTAGGAGTAACTTGTAAAATGAACTTCGTATAAAACTTAGTTGAATTATGTCTCCAACTTTTAAGTGAGCAATTAAGGAAGAAGGGCAGTTTGCAGAGCTTGTAATAGGAAGAGTAATTTTAAGACTATAACTACAAGAGACTCTCACTAAAGAGAGAACATTTTCAGAAACACCACACAATGGGAGTGGCACATTTTCAAATTCTCTAAGCAAATATGAAGCTGACAAACATGTTTATAAAAAAATTCAGATAAACTACAATAGGTTTTCATCATGTGTAATTAAAAACACAGTGAGAAATTCCTTTGTAACAAATGCAGGCAACAGGTTAGCTTAAAATAGTAATGCATGAAGTATTTCAAAGGTATATTTTGACAAAACAATTGATATGTGCATATGAAACAAGTAAAATGCATCCAGAAAAATAAAACACTACTTTTTAGTGTCTGCATTTTTTTTTTTTTTTTTTTTAAACGAAAGCCCTTATGGGTTAAAAAAAAATTCTTGTGTCAGTTACGTAGATCATTTTGTGTTCCAGTAAAGTAGAAGACAATTAAATGGTAACTTAGGGTATAAACAGGTGGTAAAGTGGAGATTAATAAGGAAAGGATATTGATCAAAATGCAACTAGCAATGAGCACACTTTCTTATATTGTGTGAAAAACCTATTTTGCATTAGGAGGTTGGCTCAGGCCTAATTTTTAGACCTGACCCGGACCCAAGCTCACCCAATGCTTACAAGTCAAGCCATTTTTCCAACCCGACCCTTCCCCCTGAACCTTAGGCAGCCCCACTGCTACCTCCTGCCCCAGGGTCAGCTCTCCTCTTCCTGCCTGTGGTGTCAGTGCAGCAGTGGCTGTACTACTATTCACCACCCTCTACTGCTCTGTGCGAGTGGATTGAAATTCCTTGGCGTACTTGCCTGGCTGCACATGAGAGCGCAGCAAGGTAGTGGCAGCCAGCAGGAGCTGGGCAGACAGCTGCTCCCACGTTGACCTGATCGGGTCTAGTTCTTTTCCCACCCAAGCCAGTCCCGACACTTTTAGTCGGGTTGCATCAGGTTTCAAGGCTCTATTTTGCATGTACCCATTTGCTCAATAAAGCATGTGATCGTGTGAGAGCTGGATGCTTAACTGAACAATAACTCAACTAAGCAAAGAATTATGCATCCGCTGAATGTTTAATTCCACCTCCGCAAACACTTCAGATATGTTTTGAAACTGTACTTCTCCAATTTAATTGATCAGCTACTCTACCAAGGGACAAGGCTGAGAGGTGAAGATGTCCTAACATTTCTGGCCTTAGGCTAAATGCTCCATCCAAAATGGAATCCTCCCTTCTGATCTAGCATGCTGGCTGAGCACTGAAATGCTTCTTGCCATTCACCCTTACACTGTAATCCTACCACGCTCCAGCACCTGTGTTTGTTGTGCTTGGGCGACTCAATTTATGAAGGGAGATTTTATAACTTTCAGATTTTGCAAGACGCACCACTATATCCTGGGGATTCTTCCAATTTGATTTAGTTCCTTGCAGTAAACTTTTGGAGCTATCAAGTTTCAGGGTGTTCAGTATTTTAAACTGAACCAAAACCAACATGACCCACCTACCACAAGTCAGTACAATAGACCAGGTCCACCACAGTAAGGACTAGACCAGCTTTTTGTTTAAAGCTCGACTCTATGGGTATGTCTACATTTAGGCCGGGAGGTGTGATTCCCGGCTCACAGAGATGTACCCATGCTAGCTGTCCTCAAGCTAGCACTGAAAAATAGCAGTGTGTGCTCTGCAGCATGGGCAGTGGGTGGGGAAAGGTGCCCAATTATGTTCCCAGGAGTGTCGGTGGGACCGTACTCGGAGCAGCTAGCCCAAGTGGCTGTCCATAGATACACTGCTATTTTGAGAGGGCATCTGAGCTCCTCTGCCTGACCCCCTTTGTGAGTTGGGAGATGTAGGGGCCTCTGCCCAACTACTGGAATCTGACCCTTTCCACATCCCTGTGTGAGCAGAGAGCTAGTGGGCTAGTCCTCCTGAGGGCATCTGAGCCCCTCTGCCTGCCCCCAACCACATGAGAGTCGGGATATGTGGGAGGCTTATCCCTCTAGGAATCTCTCTCTATCCTCCCCACCCACCGATGTGAGATAGGATGTGGTGAAGCCCTGCCTCTCTGGGTGGAGTAAGCTTAGAACAAGCATGCTTGGAGAATGCATCAAGACAACACTGCTGAGACTGGGGTGAGGATATATGCATATCATAGGCTCCCTTGCACTGTGGAGGGGGATGGTAACACCCCCTCATATGAGTTCACATGTCTCCGAGCTGTATTGTTGTAGGCCATATTTATCTCCATGGCGTGTTCTCATTCAGCTAAGAACATCTAAGGAAAAGACAACTTCACACCACTGAGCCTCCTACGCTGCAGCTGGATGTGTAGACCCCCAATGGCTAGGACTCAGACTATTCTTGGCTCTGTCACTGGCATGCTGGGTGACTGTGGCCAAGTCATGTCACGTCACCTCTGTGCCTCAGTTTCCCCATCTATACAAGGAGAAAAATAACTTTACCTCCTTGAGCTCTGACGTAAAGCATTTGTAAGTGCTAACACTTATTACCTATCCACAGAAGCATCTGAACTGCACATCTATGTGATAATTACAAAGGCCTAAGTGACCACTAAATCCTATCAACATTTTTCTTTAAACAAAACAAAAACAAAACAAAAGGATAGGAAAACAAACATTAGAAAGCTTCATTAACCTAGAGTGAACGTTGCCCAAACATAGCTTGTGCGCCTTCAAAGTGTCTAAGTCAGCAGAACTCAAACTTGTGGAAAACAGGAAATAGTGAGTTAAGGTAAATGTCCATGCAACTTTAACTCTGTCCCCGTGGAGCGGTCAATAGCCACTGGGAATTATCTGCATTCACTGTGTTAGCTGTAGCTGGTTGAGGAATAAGTTGGAGTACCTTTAAAGAGATGTGATTGCAATAGGAGGTGATCGGGGTTTGGCCCTCGGTGGGTGTGCGCGCACGTGTGCGTGAGCCCCTTCTCTGATCCCTGTGTGTGAGAGACCAAAGGAAAAAGGGACACATGGGGTAGCAAGAGGTTTCTGGTCAACTGGCAGAGGGGGTACATATTGGGATCCTATAGGTTAGATATATGCACCATTATATTTACCAGAAGGTGGCATGTGAGGTATCTACTGTAGTAAGATGAGGCCCTGAGACATAAACCCTTGGTATCAGAGGCCCGGTATGAGGCCTGAACTGAAGTAATGGTCAAGATGTTGCTAACATAAATCAAAGTTAGGCTGTGAGCCAGAGGCAGGCCCTGCTCACAGAAGTTGGCAAGAGGAAGGCTGCTAAAAGAACGTGTGCCAGGACGGCATCAGAACAGCCCAGTACAAACACATCCCACACAGATAACAAGGAACAGGCAGACCCAGCCTAAAGACAGGGTCAAAAGGACAATATGATGGATAGACAATATGATGGATAGACTTGTTTGTTCGAACCAACCTGTACCAGGAGAAAGGCAGCACCTTAATGCATAGAGGGGCTGTACCTCAATGCGTTCAATGATGTGTAACCTGTTTGTACCTGGGTATAAGAATGCATCCCTCAGTGGAAGTCTTTGTCTGGCGTAGAGGGCAGTGAAGAGTCCCACCACTGATTGAGCTGGTCCATTGTCAGGGGGCACATATTCGTAGTATGTCCTGTAGACTCTGCGGGGAACTATTACTGTGCTTCGTTTGACAATAAACCTGGCCGGGTGCCTTTGTACCTTATCGGAGTCTGTGGTCATTGGAGGTTCTCTTGGGGTCTGCTGTGCCAGCGATCTGCAGAACTGGGGCAGCACACAGAGGGAACACACGCACGCAGCCGACTGTTATCAGCATTGAACAGAGCAGAGCACCACACTGGTGGCATCTGACGACATCTACCAAGAACCAGTAGCCAACTGGTTGTCATAATCATTGCAAAAATGTATGTGTATATATAATGTTGAGAGAATTATGTATCTGTATTGAAAATTATGTTCGTAAGGTATGAGAGCTAAGGCATGTCCCCAGAAGGGGATAAACATGCTCCTGTTAGGTAGGAGGGAAGAGACATTTATCTCTCTCTGGTTGGTCATGTGCATATTGCGAGGTGTGTTTCACAATGGAGGCCTAGCTACAATTTGAGCTGAATTCACAATCTCTTGATTAGCAACTGACAAGAAAGGGACACAAAGGAAAACATAACCAGCAGGAGGGGCATCCTGTTTCCGAGTAAGGACAACAGGGTTTTTTCGGGGGTGGGGTGGGTAATAACCCGAGGTACAGGGAAACACCCTGGATGTTTGCACTGACAGGCAAGCTAACAGCGTGCTTGTCTCACAAATGACAATCACAGCCACGGTTGGCTGTAATACGCTGGAAGGATTTTGTGAGAGCTTTTCACTGTAAGTCATGACAGTAGTTAGTTAAGTCAGTGTAGGTTCTAGAATGCGTGCTCTCTAACTCCATTAAATAAACTTCTACCTGTTTTCACTATGGATTTATCCAAGTGCTGTGTGTTAAGTGGAGCAGTGATCCGAGGTGTATCTGGTATGCTGGGATGTACTGGTTTTTTGGAAGCTGTGAATACTGCGAGTGTCCAGTGGACAATCCAGAGAGACGCTCGGAGATTGGAATGTGCCTATTGCTAACCTATAGAGGGATAGTGGCGCCTGTGTGCACTGAGAGGAGAGTGCTTGTGTTGCCTGTGGCCAGTGAAGGCAGGGAGCTGACCCACAGCAGGCACACACAAGGATTCCTCATGCTAAGGGCAGGTAGTAAGGAGGTGCTTCATAATCCTGGGAAGCATCACAACACGTAACTTGGGATAGCCAGTATGCCTCATTTCAGCACTGCGTTGTGTAGGCGATGTCACTAGCAGAGCATGGGGTGGTTTTGCCAGGGGAACTGTCGCAGTTAGGTGGGAGATAAGAGTAGTCTGAGGGTCTAATGATGGGTAAGTGAAGGCCAGTATTTGATGGCATTGTGTCCATAAGGATGAAGGGGCTGAAGGAGTTTAGTAGGTGTGGTGGTCTTTCTGTGGAGTAGGCTAAGTGTGTGAGTGTAGAGCAGGCATAGGTAGCTCCTGTTCAGTACAGGGCAAAAGCAGAGTGCAAATACATGGGCTTACTGGGGCACCACTCAAAGCGGGCAGAGTTCAGGCTGAATGGGCACGTACCTCAACTAGATATTTCCTGGTTTTCACAAGTCTGAGTTTTGTTGAAGTAGACATTCTGGAAGGGCACGAGCTATTGCCAGGCAACCTTAACAGAATTAATTTTTTTTTGCCATTTAATATCTTTTTAAAAAGGAAAAGAAGCAAGAAGGAGAAGGAATTGCAGACACCTGCATTCACAAACTGCTAGTGTTTAGCCTTTGTAACCTTATCCAGCTTTCCCCCATCCCTCCTACATTCACAATGGAGGACAAAGATGATCTAGTATTTGCTTTCAATATTGTTGTGCTAACTTACGTGTTTTTCGCTTGTCCATCCTTGAAACACATTTGTCCAACTAGAGCAGCAGATTGGTCACCCAAGCACTGAAAGGATAGACATGTTCTTAGCAAAGACGTGCATATGAATCACTGTGTAACAACAATAACCTTAAATCAATTACTTCTAGGCCTATAATCCCAATTTGGGTCATGTACACTGTAAATGAGAAGGTAGTGAACACAAGCGCAGTCTTCACGAATATTCATTCCTTCTCCCCTGTACTGCCAATGAAAAGTGCCAATTAGTACCACTAGCTATGGTAACAATTAATTTAGTAAGTGTGATCAAGTGCAATATCTGCATGTGTTTGACATTAGTCGCCAAATTCTCAGCTCACTTCAAGATTTGTGCATGTAGATCTGGTTGTCATATGGCTAGCTTTCATTTTCTGATGAGTTATCCATTTATGATGTTTACTTACTGTGAAGCCTCCTACATTTCCATGGGACTATTTGTGAGAGTTAAATTGCTAACATACAGGAGAACCTCAGAGTTATGAACACCTCAGGGGAATGGAGGTTTTATGTAACTCTGAAATGTTCATAACTCTGAACAAAACGTTATGGATGTTCTTTCAAAAGTTTACAGCTGAACATTGATTTAATACTGCTTTGAAACTTTACTATGCAGAAGAAAAATGCTGCTTTCCCTTTATTTTTTTAGTAGTTTACATTAAACACAGTACTGTAATGTATTTGCTTTTTTTTTTTTGGTCTCTGCTGCTGCCTGATTATGTACTTCTGGTTCCAAGTGAGGTGTGTGGTTGACTGGTGAGTTCGTACTTCTGGTGTTCGTAACTCTGAGGTTCTACTGTACTTGTTTGCATGATCAGGCCTTAATTCATTAATTCCCGATGGTCTTCATTATTTGTGTAAGTTAGCAAGTATACTGTACTTGTTTAAAATGATTGAATTTTGTTGCAAATAAAAAAGTCAGTTTTCTAAAATAATCAGTTTATTTTTAAGTTATATCCAGTGAGGGTCTCTCCAAGCAGAGCCAAGTCCTCATGTCAGAATTCAAATTGAAGAAGAACTCACCCCAGAAATTGGCACACCTGTCAGGGCTCCGGATTTCTGACAAAAATACAGAAAGAAACTTCAGTTATTTCACACTGCTTGCTTATCAATTACTGTAACATTTAAGCAGTAAAGGAAAGACACTCCTCAGTTTTTAATGGAGATATGCATGCTTCAAGTGTGGACAGAAACAGTTGCAGCAAAGAGCCCTCGTACCAGAATGGGTAGTAACTTAAAAGCAAGGCGTGTCACTGCCATTTCAAAAGACTGCCTTTAAAATTTTTAAAAAATAAATAAAAAAATTAGCATTTAAAGGAAAACTGCTTTGACTAAACAGGTTCAACAATACTGAAAATTTGCCTCTTGGCACAAGCTAGATATTATGTTGAAGAAGACAGCTTGCAACAACGCTTTTCCTTCCACTCAGAGGCGCTCCACAAAAATATTGTAAAAACTCTTTCTGCTTGTTTGTGTTTTCATACTGTTTCATTTTACTATCAATGCCATATGGTGTAACAACTGTCATGGATAAAAATGGCATTTATAGATCAACAGTCTGCTCGCTAATTTTGAGATAAAGATTTTCCACTCTCAGGAACCCATAAAGTGCCATTGAGAGCTACATTACTTGGTCCAGCTCTCATTGACTTCACTTTATATCATAATGACATCTCTTCAAAGCTACTCCAACTTATTCCTCCACCAGTCAGTCAGCTACATCTAACAAGTGAATGCAGATAATTCCCATTGGCTATTGTCACCAGAAAATAGCCTTCTCATGGAGTCTCTATACTACAGGCACTCCAGCAGCAACTGTACCATTGTTGCATAGATATTTTCTACATCGACAGAAGGCATTTTGCCATCAACGTAGGTAATCCACCTCCCAAAGCAACACTCCCTATGGGGGAAGGTGGGGTAAGTGGCTTCCTCCCCTCTGTAGAATAGAAGAGAGAAGCATTGAGGCAGAGTGATGCCTTCCAGTTAAGGGATAGAGCAGGTCCTACTGCTTACAGGAGGAATTTGGATCGCTACAGCAGCTTGGTTTGAATTCTTGTGTGCACAGCACCTCTGCTTAATCCAACAAATCAGGTCTAAAATCAAAACAGTAAACAGCAAGATTCATGCATTTACTCCATAGCCTAAGATAGAGGAATCCAGAAACCAGTTTTAGTTGTTAGTTTTCCATATTAGGTTAAAATAAAAAGCAATCTTGTTAAAATAAGAAACAGACTGTCATTTGTGGTATGCTAGCATGTGGCCTGTAACAATAAGGTTCAACGAGATACTATGAACAGGCACTTTCCTATTACAAGTGATTGTGATAAGGTGATTTAACAAGTAAACAATAACAGAGGTCTTATTTTAAGACCACATAGTGTTTTCAATCTAAGCAGCACTTCAAAAAAACAACCATGTGCTAGAAAGTTTCTTCAGCGGTATTCCTGTAAAGGCATCACCAGGAATCAGTCCTATTTAAAATATCCTTTGCTTTTGTTAACTAGTAGACTCTTTCTTGAGCTGTGACTATACATTTTCATTGAAGCCATGCATAAGACATGACAGTGCATTTCCAATTAGGAAATCTCCGTAGTCTCCACAACTCCCATTTTAACTGATTGGGCTTTTTGATAGTTTAATATTAAATTTATTTAAACAAACATTACAAACCTTAATTCTATTACACTGAAATACCAAGTGTTGTTCTCATTACAAAGCCAGACATACCTGTTTCTCTTTATAAATATGAAATTGTTAAGCCTTCAAAATTTATGCAAACATACTAGTTACACTGGTCACTTAACCGCAATGTCTCAATCTGGAGACAGTAGCTGGATCTGTTAGTTTTACAAATGTTATGTTGCATGCCTCTAAGTAAATGGAAATGCACTGTATCTGAACAGAATGGATGAGACATAACTTGTGGACAGCCTAATGAATGTCTCTACTCACCAGGCTAGGGCACATTTTCTACAGTCAGCAAGAAAATAATAATAGGTAGGAAGGAGAAAGACAAAAAAAAGATTATAATCAGCTATCCTGTCTCGTTTCCCGTGATCAGCTTTCTCTCTTCTTCCAATTGCTGAATTGGTTCAAGTCAGAATAAAATTCACTCTGATCTAACCCCTTCAAATTAGTAGACGCCAACTAAGATTCCTAGTAGCATTCACATTTAGAACCTGGTTAAAAAAAAATTAAAATAAAAAGCTACAAGTGGGGTTTTTTTTGTTAAATTAAGAGCAATCCAGAATCTTTTTCTGGAGTTAAGATAAAAGGACACTCTTCAAAGCAAAATAGACTCCCAATAGGCAAACAGGATCCTGTCCTGCAGCCTTCATCCAGCCATGAAGTTCTGTTATTAAGTTCTGCAATTAAGCACCACCTCTTTTCAACTGCATGACCACGGTTCAGCAATCACTCCTGGGGAAAGTCTCTGCAAGTGCTCTAAAAGCACCGTTTGATTACAAATACATCAGCAATGCTCCAACATGTTTATGTAACAAACTTTACAGACACACAAGCAATTAGAATTTACTTCTCAAAAGGAGGCAATCCAAGATGGAACGTGCATTTCTTCCAACTCCCACAGAACCCTACCAAATCCTTTACTCAATCCCACAGGGATGCAACACTGAAAGGGACTTACCCAGCATGCCTACCACCAGTAAGACTCGCATGGAAGCTGTCCATGAGAGTTTTGGCCGTTCTGGGAGCACGGTGGTCCCAGGAAGGGCACTATTTGAAGCTATCTTATTACTTTTAATCTGCTGCTTATAGATTAATTCACCAGCTACTTATCAAAATTCAATAAGTAGTTCACAAGTATCCGATATTTACTAGTCTCAAAAAAACCCTTCCGAGTTTTACTAGTTTGACACTCATCAAGAGTGTTATCTGCAATGATCTTAATTTGACATACTATTAAAAAGGCTATCAGATACTGACATCGGATTCATACGGTTTGATAAAGCAACCCACATTGTTCTAGAAAACTAGAGAGCTATTAGCTTGCTTTTAATCAGCCCCAAAAGCTATATCTTTGAGAGTAAGTTTAAGAAAACATACCATCAAACCATAAATCTCAGAGGAACTCCGCACTTTTGGAAGTATTTCCATAGGAACGTCAAAAAAACTGCAAAAAAAAAAATATTTTGCATTTAGTTATGCTAGGGAAATTGTTTTACATTTTCTACTTTGAGACAAATTAAACATAATGTAAAGGGAACTTTGATATCCATATCTTAGATCATGACCTAATGTCTTTCCTAGTAAGATGTGGGAGAGCATTGTAATGTTTGAGTTATGAAGCAATATTTGCTTTGCTCAGCATTTTATAGACAGATCTAACTCCATTTTTACAGTTGGAAAAATCATTCCTATTTTGAAATAAAATAAAGCGAATACATGCTGGAGTACCAAAGAATTTTTTAAGTTTATATTTAAAGCAATGAGACTACCATTTTGCACTATGCTTGTGTAATATGCTGAAGGAGCAGTCAGATAACTCAGAAATTAAAGGCAAACTTAATATTTAAATCACTTCTGTGTACCTGGTTTTCAATATAGAAAGACACTAAGATCTGGCCTCTTCATTAATCCAAACAGAAGTTATGTAGCTCTTTAGAGATAGGGTTACCAGATAGCAACTATGAAAAAACGGGAAAGGGAGTTGGCGGGGGGGTAATAGGCGCCTATATAAGAAAAAGTCCCCAAAAATGAGATTGTCCCTGTAAAAACGGGACATCTGGTCACTCTATTTAGAGAGAATAAACCCTAATTGTTATATTCATAATAAATGCAACTGATCGCTCTTCTTAGTCACAAATGTGACCAGACAAGCATTGATGGAAGATTCTTATTTTGAAAAGCACAATTAGTGTCTGTCTTTACACCTCATTGATTAATACAGCTATTTCAATAGATTTAAATGAAAAATTAGACTTACTGGCAGAGTTCAGAATCCCACTCCAAGGAATGAATGTTGAACAACATTGTTCTACTGGCATTGGTGACATCTGTACAATGAACACCTCCATTCTTCCCACCTGTCAAACTCTGGAAAAAGCAACCAAGAATATTAGTAAATAAATAAATAATAATAATAATAAAAAAATTAGTCAACAGTTCAAGCAAAATAATCCAGTTACTAGCCCACCAGTAACAGGTGAAAGTTTTAAAAGCCACAGTTTAATAGTCAGTTTTATAGTTAGTAAGAATGAAATCAATAAACTATTTTGAGAATTAGAAATAGTATTTTTGCACCCTTGAAATAAGTTGGAACTTTGATATTTTTGCAATATGTGAATGAAGAGCTAGACAAGAATATCCATAATGGACAGAATATATAATGCATATACACAAAACAGATATTATAAAAGGTTACCGGTCTAAATTTTATGTAAGTTTTAATTTCTCCTCCACCCATATGTTCTAAGGCAGCTGATTATTTTTTTTTACGTTTCTTTTTTAAATTTTGCTTGTAGCCACACAAGTACTGAGAAAGTTCCACAACAGGTATAGTTCTGGTTGTGTGACCTCCAGAGGATGCCTTTATCATCAACAGTTGGTATAAAGGTGGACAATGAAAATCTGTTGTACAATTTATTTTTTAAATAAAAGAACCCCCATACACATACCCATATAAGCCATGAATCAATGGTACCAAACATAGCTCGCCCATCACGAACAGCTTGCCTGATCTCTTCCACGTTATCTAGGAGCCACCGAAGTTTCACTGCACTGAAATACGTGCTAAGTGGAAGGCCAGTCCTAGTCTGCAAGAGTGAGAGTCATTTAGGACATGCCATGAGTTAATCCCCTCCAGTGACTACTGTACTTGTCTATGAAGTTAGGGAAAGAGAAAGGAAACTCAAGATTCTTTATTTAAACTTAATTTTTCTTCTTTTTTTAAATAAGACCAAGCATTCCCAATACCGTAAAACTGTCTCACACCAAAACCAAAAGATCAACATGACTATGAACAAAGATCACAACAACTGATCAGTTGAGAGTTCAAAGACCTTCCACGTGGCAACAAGATAAAGGCATATACAGACATCCTATCTTGTTTATGATAGCTGCCTGGGGTAAGATAGCGCAAACTGATGTTACAATGACACTGAAAGGATGAACCTTCAGTTACATTTGTAGCTTTACAGTCAAGCAAGTTGATATGCTGGTTCACTGACCCACTCCTACCAGATATGGCTATAGAACAAAGAAGCAGGACATCATTTGGCCAGCATACAGCCACCAGGTTAAAAGCTGAATGTGAAAGGAAGATGGACTCTAGTGAAACAGCTTCTCAACTCTCAAATTAGCCATACTAAATTAATGCTATAAATTAAAAGTTATACTAAAAATTAATTATTAGAGTGACAAACATAGGATGGGAAAGTGGGTTAAAGACAGTATTAACTACTAGTTCTAGTGGAAGCCCTAACTCTGAGTTTAGTGGGTTTAAGAGAGGCATCTGGTACATAATGCCCAAGACTTCAAATAGAAAATCATTAAACACACAGAGACTATTTGGAAATCTTAATTTAAAGCATTACTAACTGGATATTCTAGAAAAATCCCTTACCTTAAAAAAGGATGAATTTTGCCCTGGAATTATTTTAAGAAGCCTCTCAACTGTTGGCTGGGTTCTCAGGTCAAGCCACACTACAAATCAAAATAGAGCACACACACACCACATTTATAATAATTCAACCACCGTTTGCTATTTGTCAGAGCCAAAGAACAGTGGAACTGTATAGCTTCTGCTAAAAATTGCTGAAGTCCTTAAAGTCAGGAAACTGACACTAAAATATTTTTAGTAAAGAAAAAATTGACAGGAAAGAAATATTCATATGCATATTTCTGTATCATTGTAAAAATGTAGAAGGGACAGGTAACCTCATTCTATTTGCAAGCCTAACTGGTCCGTAACATAACAATATGACTTTCTACAAAGAGAGGCTACCAAGGATATATTTTGTGTTTCTCAGTCTATTCATGAACAATACAGAGATCAACCAAGTGATTGAGTAACAATACTTAATAGTTTACCAGAAGATCAAGGTCAACTAGAAAGCTTAAAGTACATATAGTAATAGGTTGATCATTTACTATTTCTGTGCGAACACTCAACTACAGCAGTAAACAGTGTTAAAGAATTACTGATGCTCAGCTTTACCTAAGATAAAAGTCTTAAACATCACACACTTGAACATTAAACACAAAAAGCTACTTGGAAGGAAGAACTTAAATCCCCTCTCTCAAAGCAATGCCAAGTTCAGGTTTCTGAAAGTTCTTAGGACCCTTCAATTCTACATTAAAAGACAAGGCAGAACTTCAGACCTCTGACAGACAAACACAAGCTGTGAACATTCTATTTTGCTGAAGCCCTATTAAAAGACGTATTAAACTAAATTGTGAAATGATAGCTCATTTTTATTATTTATCTTTATTTATTTATTATTTATCTTTATTTAACTAGGATATTTTTCTGTGTAACTGCAGCATCAGTGGGTGCAAACATACAGCTTTTGGGAAAGGCCACCAAAAATTGTCATTATTACTAGCAGGTTCTAACAAGATTTATATGGGATTTCTAAAAATCTGCTAGTACAACTGCAGCGAGGCTGTACTGAAAGGAAGAGTATATAAGCTTTAAGAAGCTATATACACCAGGTAGGCACTGATACACGTACCAATAGCATTATAGAGAGGTTCTCCAGTTGTCTTGTCCCAAACCACAGTTGTCTCTCTCTGATTGCTGACTCCAATAGCTGGAAAACAAAGGGGGTTGGGGGGGAAGAGTACACTTTAGAGATCTTGAGAGGGCAGGCAGGGAAGAAAAGGAAGTGAAAGGAAAATAAAAACCTTTTGGCTTGTGCCTTTTACATTCTTGGTATACCACTTTTCTATCATTTCAAAAAAAATTGAACCCTGCTCTACATCTCTTATTCTTCTGTTTGATGTTCACAACCTGACATGAACAAAGAAACTAAAGTTTTGTAACAGCAGGCACTGCAGTGTAATGTGATCAGTATTTCATCCATTAGCTGTCTAACCCCTTTGCAATCCCCAGAGAGAATTTTATTGGGTCTATTTGGCAAAACAATGCACTGCTGGTAAGTGTCAGCAATATCTTCTTTCCCCAACATGCAGAGCTTTTTTTGACATGGGGCTAAATCCTGCTTCCTTTCTAATCACTGACTTCATTACTAGATGATCTGACCTTCCCCAGTCCCAAAAGCATATTCTGAAAAGCGGCTAGTTACACGTAAGAAACTGCAGCAATACCTTTTATGTTGGTGATGTCTATGTTTAGCTGGTTCAATTTCCCACATGTTTTCTCCACACATTCATAAACGGACTGCAAAATTTCCTTTGGATCTTGCTCCACCCATCTTTAACAAATATTTGACAGCAATCAAAAAAGAAGCAAATATGAGGCAGATGTTACATTTATGGAGAGCTGCATAAGAATTCTAGGAGCATTCCATAGAGTCACATGTTCACACTATTAAAGAGTATCAAAAAATTAACTCAGCTAGTTTTTCCCTCTGGTCAACTTGTTCTGATTCCACGGCAGAATGACCAACGTTATTCTGCATCATATAGACAGTGTTTGTTTAATCAAGCAGCCTAATAATTTGAATAGTCAGTCTCACTTTTTCTCTAAAAATGCAATGTGGATATTTCAAAATCGGAAGAGCCTTTTTCCTATCTTCTACAGATAGATGTATACTACCTCAGGACAGAGGGGGAAGAGTCTGGGGATAACACCAGGTGAACAGTGTACAGCAAATTTAGAGATAGAGAGTAAGTTGTGCAGACTTCATAGGTGAAGCTGGAGAATGTAAATGTAGGCAAGTCAGTCAAGAAAATGAGTAGTTTCACCATTTTAAGCAAGATTGGACAGTGGAAGAATATGGGTGAGAGACTATTGTGAGGGTTGAACATTCATAAACATTTTTAGGAGTTAATAAGATTTCCATTAGGCCATACAAAGGAGGGGAATTTTTTTTGTTTTTAAAAAAGGATCTGTTAAATTATTCTTTCCTACCACTCTAAAACATTAGCAACCGATTCCATATTCTTAACAGATTACTCACTGGCTTCAATTGTAATTATGCATACATAGATCCTATTAAATAGGCTTTTGCCATGTTGAAAGGTAGACAGAAATGGAATAGAAGATATACAGAGATCATACCCTTCTTTAGGGAATTTCTGTTTTATTTCTACTTGATGGTGACTCAGGAGCTCTGCTGTTTTCGCATTAAAAACCTGCAGATAAAAGGATACAGATTAAATAAATTGATGCCTACAGGATTAGACAAACCAGATATGAGGAGACAATAATAAAGTGAAGGTATGTTACATTTCCATTGAGCATAGGGTCGCCAACTTTCTAATCACACAAAACCAAACACCCTTGCCTGCCCCTTCGCCGAGGCCCTGCCCCCCACTCACTCCATTCCCCCTCCCTCCGTCGCTTGCTCTCCCCCACCCTCACTCACTTTCACTAGGCTAGGGCAGGGGCTTGGTGTGCGGGAGGAGGTGAGGGCTCTGGCTGGAGGTGTGGGCTCCAGGGTAGGGCCAGAAATGAGGGATTCAGGATGTGGGAGAGGGCTCTGCGCTAGGGCCAAAGGGTTTGGAGTGCAGGAGGGGGCTTAGGGCTGAGGCAGAGGGTTGAGGTGCGGGCTCTGGCTGGGAGTGTGGGCTTTGGGGTGGGGCTAGAGATGAGGGGTTTGGGGTGCAGGAGGGGGCTCAGGGCTGGGGTGCAAGAGGAGATTCAGGCTCCTGGAGGGATTTGGGGTGCAGGAGGGGGTTCCAACCTGGGGCAAGGGGATGGGGTGGGGTCAGGGCTATGGCTGGGGGTGTGGGCTCTGGGGTGGGATCAGGGGTGAGGGGGGTTTGGGGTGCAGGAAAGGGGGTTGGGGTGTCGGAGGGGATGCAGGTTCCAGATGGGCAGCACTTACCTCAGGCAGATCCTGGAAGCGGCCAGCATGTCCAGCTCATAGGCGGAGGAGCCAGGTGGCTCTACACGCTGCCCCCTGCCCGCAGGTGCCACCCCTGCAGCTCCATTGGCTGCGGTTCCCAGCCAATGGGAGCTGTGGAGCCAGCGCTCGGGGCAGGGCCAGCAGGCAGAGCCTACGTGGCTGCCCTTGCGCCTAGGGTCCCTTTTTGACCAGGTGTTCTGGTTGAAAGCCGGACGCGTGGCAACCCTAATTGAGCAACCTAGGCCTGTGTGTAAAATTACATCAAGTGATGTTAGATGTGATAGCGGCTTTCTTCATCCCCACCCATGCTTCCAAGTCAAGTAGCTAGTCATGAAGGTGGTAAAGTGATTTCATTTCTGTACTGTCCAGAGTGATAAAATTATCAGAGACTCATTTCTGCTATGATTCCAGAGAACATTGCCAGCTGTTAACTTGTCCCTTGCCTGGTAGTTATGTGGCATTACACAAAATATACTATGGTTATGTCATCCTTCCTCTTCCCTCCATCTACGCATCTTGTGTTTCATCTAGTGTAGCTTAATTGCAAGACTGAACAGGTAAACTCTTCAGGATAGGAAGGGACTGCCTATACTACAAGTTCGTACAGTGCCTAGCATCAGGACTTCTAGGTGCTATGACAATAGAAATAATCTCTTCCTCAGTGCACCTATCCAACTTCCATTAACGATTACGAGGGCTTGTGTGTGCACGTCAAGAGGAAAGAGATAATGAGACTTAAAAAAAAAAAAAGTCAGAAGCCTAGTAACAAAACCATTTGCTAAGCATTTCTTTCACTAAGATCAGACTTTTTTTTAGAAACACACATCTTTTGGCACATTAGCAACATTCATACTCTCATACACGCTCCCGAATGGAGGACAGCGTATTCCTGTCTTTCTTTCAGCTAAGAAGGATGTTGGCACAAATGGGTGAAGTCACTCAGACAGCGTAATGTCAGCACATTTTAAGCCAGGCCAAGCTTTCACTCCTAAGCCAATAAGGGCTGAAGCACTGGGAAGGCAGTGCACTCATCCCCATTTTGCCAGCCATGGTGTCGTTTCCCACATAACTATTTACCCCCAGCAGGACGCTGTCATCAAGGCAGTCATTTTGCAATACACAGACTTATGTGCTCATTCAATTCCCAGCACATGTGATTACACACACATTGAATTCCATTATAATGTTTAGTCCCCAAAGGTATAAATGAGAATGGAGAAGCAGCATAAACTAATGTGGCTAAGAGTAATTCAAAATCTTTCTATTCAGAAGTGGAAGGTAACAATAGAGTACGAGAACAAACTGGTCAGTTGTTTTATTACTGTATTTGTCATTTTACTTACAGAGACTATGGGCTTGGTGAATATTCCTTGCAGTGAAAAAAAAGTTTACCAGATTCCAGAATCTATCAATCATCTCTAAAGAGTGTCAAGCTATATGTTAGGTATCCCATTTCTTTTCTTTTAATGTGATTCTCCTTGTTATTCTGAAAACGTTTTGTTTTTAAGTTAGACCAGTTTTGTTGGTTTAAGTTGTGTCTTATGCTGTTTGGGAACTGCACAAAGGCCACCCCAAAAGAAAACAAAACCCTCATAAAAACAATCATCAGCCTCTAAAAAGAAGTAGAAATGGGTGTTTGGAGTCAAACATATAGGATTTTTGGTAAAAAGGGAACAGACTAAAAACGCCTCTCCCATAAACTGTTGCTTCCAGGGCTGCCACTTGACAGACACAAAGCACGTGCCACCTGACAAAGGATGAATCAAATTTAAGGGACAAAAGGTGACAGTCTGCAGTTGTGCAGTATTTTACTTTATTTTTCCTTTTAAGTAATCGTCAAGACATATCACAAGGTACTAGTTAGAATATCTGTAATATTTTAAATTTTCTTAAGTATTTTCTGGTTGGCTAGGCTCACATAAAATCTGCCTTGCCCTAAGAAGTTAGATGACGCTACTTACTCTTGTCAGCTAGTTAACAGAATAAGGCTGAAGAGGTCACTTTAGTTACTGGAAGCCAAGGTTTCTTTTAACTAGTTGTCGTTTTTGGCTAGTCAAAGGAAGAGTGTTTACACTCTGATGCAATTTTACCTGAAGTGTTCATTATATATGTTAAAACAGAACAAAGATTCTATTATAACACCACCTCTCTTTTAAAGTGAGTAAGTGGCAGGCTGACAGACCTAGAACCTGGGGTGACAGATTTAGTCACAACACAGGCAACAGCCACCGAGGTTCTCTGCTCTACCCAGCCAAAGTGCCTCAACCTTTACCCAACAGGACCCTCTCTGTGGGCGAGATGGTAATTCAGTCTTGATAGCCATCAATCCTTGGCCTCTCTGAAACTGCCAACAAGTGTGCCAATTAGTGATGGTAGTGCTGTAGCTTTGTGCTGTGGAAACCTGTCCAATGTGAACAGGGATAAGTCAAAAAACAAACAAACAAAAAAAACCCCTCAGTCTAATTCCCTGTCAAATGCCAAATACTCTTGGTGATTAGTTACACACCTGGGCCACTTAGGAGTATTTGTTTTGTCTACCTGATTTTTCCAGCCATGCTTTGAAATACATTTTAGTAGTATCTAGGGGGTTTAAATGCAATGTAGGATTCACACACATTTTTCTCACTCACCTAAAGAAGAGAATCGCACAGCATTTTAGCTCCATGACCATATTTTTATTCCTGACAATAGCAAATATCACTTGGAAGTTACCTAAAATCACATGGTCAGAGTAATAGTCACACTGCTGCTACAAGTGCTTCTGTATTAATAATAGGCATAAGCAAGATGAGTAACTGTTGCCTCCTACTGAGATGGATGATGCAGACATAAAAAGAAAGAAAAACAGTTGGAAATGATAGGGAAAGACATATACACCTCTACCCCGATATAATGCGCCCGATATAACATGAATTCAGATATAAAGCGGTAACGCAGCGCTCCGGGGGGGACGGGGCTGCGTGCTCCGTCGGATCAAAGCAAGTTCGATATAACGCGGTTTCACCTATAACACGGTAAGATTTTTTGGCTCCCGAGGACAGCGTTATATTGGGGTAGAGGTGTATGAAGAGGAAAACATGCATAGGAGCCAAGACAATAAGATGAACAGGTAAGAAGAGGCTAGATCTAGTGAAAAACAGACTAACGGAACACTAGACTTGTAACAGTAGATTGGTACCTGAAACATTTCCCTTGTAAAATGGTATGCTCCCTCAGCACAGTCTCCTCCCATTTAGTGTAATTTCTATTTTATGTATATTCATTTATTCTGAGTGAATGGGGTGCTAGGGGATAGGTCCCTCTATGCTCTTTTCACCATGCTGGTGTTTATGAGTTAACTCTCAGCTCACTGAGGTAAAAGGAGATCTCTTGACACTCAAGTTCACAGCACTTTTTATTTTTGTAATATTTCAATCACACTGCTATTTTAAGAGAACAGCAACATTTTGCAATTTATTAAATTAAAAAAGAATTAGCAGTGGTTGCAGGTACTACACCTGCACCTATATATATATTCCTGGAAATTTACAATCACACTTTTGTTTTTTCTCTTCTGTGTGTGTTTATAATACAACCAAACTAATGTTACAAGGGTAAAAGCTAGTCTGACTATATACAAAATGCTGTCAAATGCACACATTTAAAAACAAAACAAAACAGACTTTTTCTCCAATTCTTATAGTTAAGGAAACCTGACACATTACTTCTAACTAAAGTAGATTAAAAAAAGGGAATTTTGAAGTTGGGAGCGTCTCTTAGTCTACTCAAAAGGGGCTTATGCCAAATAAAGCAGACAACCTAACTTCAAGTGTTAAAGTTTTTCCATATTTTCATTTTCCTAGTCGGCACATGCAAGGTAGCTGCATGTATTGCCACCATTAAGAACTTTCCTCAGCTGCCAGTCTGGAATTCCTTTCCACACCCAGATTTTATTTTGTCATTTGACAATTCTGTAAGGAGAAGGGCAAGGGGAAATAAATTTTCACATAGGTCAAGATGACACTCAATTCCAGACTAGTCTCCCTCTCCAGCAACTTATCTGCATGGAATAGATTCCATATAGGAATTTTTTTTGGCAACCTGCAAGAACAAGAACTTTTCCCCCCTAGTTTGTATACTCTGTGCATTTGGCAGCACCTCGTATATAGTAAGTTTCATTCTCTCTCTGTATGATTAGTTTCCACATTTTTTTTTAGCCTACTATGATCTCCTACAGTCCAACATTCTTCCGCTCTGTTGATCAGAAACAAAACATTTATCGGCAATTTACATAATTTAAAACTCATTCCTAGTCACAAAAATATGCTGAGTCCACAATTTTTGCATAACATCACCAGTGAGAGTCAAAAGGAGCTGTGCATGCAGTGAGATGGTGGGAAGGTTGAATGAAGGTTTATAGTACACCTCTAACCCGATATAATGCGATCTGATATAACACGAATTCGGATACAACGCGGTAAAGCAGCACTCCGGAGGGGCGGGGCTGTGCACTCCAGCAGATCAAAGCAAGTTTAATATAACGCAGTTTCACCTATAACGTGGTAAGATTTTTTGGCTCCCGAGGACAGAGTTATATCGGGGTAGAGGTGTAGAACAGCACCCAAATGACTGGGGCCTCCATTGCGATTAAATTCATTTATTTAATTATTAAATAATTCATTAATTTATTTTTACAATTCCCTTCTCTACAATTTAGTTTCACGTTCTGCTGTGGGAAACAAGCTGACAATCAATTCTGGGAAATAAGCTGATAACCAATTCCGGTAATCACCCTCCCAAATAACTCCCCAAACTCATTGCAACTGCTAGCACAGGAACATCCACCTTTCAATGCTACAAAAACTCAAAAACCTCCCACCACAAGTTTAATGGTAGAGGTGTAAATTCAACTCACAAAAGAAAGGTAATTCCATGTTAAGGCTTTAAAGCAGGGGTGGGCAAACTACGGCCCGTGAGCCACACCACGCGGCTTAGCCTTGCTCCAGTGGTCCGGCTGGGGTGGGACCACACCACGCGGCTCCTGGAAGCCGCAGCATGGCTCTGCTCCGGCTCCTACGTGCTCCAATGGGAGCTGCAGGGGCGGTGCCTGCGGATGGGGCAGCGTGCAGAGCCGTCTGGCCCCGCCTCCACGTAGGAGCTGGAGAGGGGACATGCCACTGCTTCCAGGAGCTGCTTGAGGTAAGCGCCGCTTGGAGCCTGCACCCCCGAGCCTCTCCCCATGCCCCAACCCTCTTCCCCAGCCCTGATCCCCCTCCTGCTCTCCGAACCTCTCAATCCCAGCCCAGAGCACCCTCCTATATCCCAAACTCCTCATCCCCAGCTCTACCCCGGAACCCACACCCGCAGCCGGAACCTGCACCTCTTCCCTAGCCCTGATCCCCCTTCCAACCTCTGAGCCCCTCAGTCCCAGCCCAGAGCACCCTCCTACACCCCAAACACCTCATCCCTAGCCCCACCCCAGAGCCCACACCCTCTCCCGCACTTCAACCCCAATTTTGTGAGCATTCATGGCCCACCATACAATTTCTATTCCCCGATGGCCCTCGGGCCAAAAAGTTTGCCCACTCCTGCTTGTGCAGAGATACTGCAGCACATATGCTAAGTAAAGAAACATTCTTCATAAATCCCTAAGATAACAGGACATGTTACATGGATTTTTGTTTCCTTGTTTATAATAAAAATCACACACTGAGGTATTAATGAGCCTTTAAAATACAACAGACTTAAAATTTTATATATAAAATTATTTGTTTCTTCAAATAAATACTGGAAATGGAATATTTTTAGGGAATGCTGAAGGAAGGGAGTATTTTCCAAAATATAAAGATAAAATGTATTAAATTAATATTTGGAATATTTCTGTAACTGCAAAATGACATTTCAAAAAAAAAGTTAGGGTATCCCTCCCCCAGCTCCTGGCTGCTAAAGCACCTACAACTCTTCCCTTTGCAAGCTTCCTGGTTCCCCAAAAGGCTACACTACTCTTCCCACCCAGCCCAACTCAGGCCATCCACATCTACTTGTGTGGTTATAGAGCACACACCCAGTGATGAAGAAATAAAAATGGTCCATTCACTTACTCTGCTTCTAATGCCCTATGTGTAAGAGTATTTTGGTTGTAGAGGTAGCCTTTGCTTTGGAAGAAACAAAAAAAAGCTCAATGAACATCCAAAACCAGTTATAAAACTCTATGTTATGAGTATATCCCCTCCAGACACCCTTCATATGGTTATTAAACTTTTGAGAACAGGAACCATTTCTTCCCATGTGTTTGTATAGTACTTAGC